TACAAATATATAACTGTAACACGTACATTTATGCGTGATGTGCATGTCACACAAGTGAATGTGTGTGTGTGTGTGTGTGTGTGTGATCTCAGCTAATGGTGATTCATGCTCTGTGAGAATGATTCATCGTTGGAACAGAGTAACTATGACGCTTGTAACTATGGCAACAGTGCATGTGGTGGGAAGGCAGGTCCACCCCCAAGCTCTTCTCACACACACACACACACACATGCTTGAAGAGCCGATGCACTCTGAATGACAGACAGAAGTTGCCATTCAGTAATGACAGTTTTTATAGCGCTCAATCAGGGCTTATTCTGTTCGTCTTAAAGAGTTCAACAAAATGAGCCGTTTAACCCTTTCCTGACCAACATACCACTAGCAATATAATGACATTTGAAATGAATGAAAAATAATGAAAAAAGGCATATCATATATTACAGTGCCCGTTACACATAATACATGTTATTAATATAGTAATTATTAAAATGTATAATTACAAGCAGATCCACAAATGTAACTTTAGTTATATGTTGTAATTACTTAGTAACTACCATGTAATCACATAGTAATATGAATGCTAGGGGAATGTTATATGAATGCTAGGCAAACTAAATATAAGTTACAATCAATCGACAGCATTTGTGGCATAATGTTGATTACTCAAAAATAATTCTGACTCACTGCTTGTTTTCTTTAAAAAAATTAATGTTTACGTTTTGTTCAGGCACTTTGACTTCAGTGTTGTTGTTGTTGTTGTTAACAAAATTTATTTATTTATGCAATTGAAACAAATCTGAAATAAAAACTAAATATAAATATGAGATGGAAAAACTTAAATCTAAACAAAACTTGAACAATGGAAATGAACAGAAATAAGATGAAGAATTAAAAGTACTAAAGGTACAACTGCAATAAAAATGAAAGCTAAACAGAAATATTAAATCAAACTAATAAAAATGACAAAAGCGCATGAAAAATGATTTAAGCTAATACTATAATAAAAACTAAAAATATTAACATAAAAGGAAATTATTAAAAATGAAGTAAAATTAAATAATATAACAATAATACAAAAATAACACTGATTTTAATATTTATGGTCATTTGTAAAATTGGATTTAACTTTACAAAGAAATAAAATAATATAGTACATGCATTTTTAACACTAAAATCATGTTCACGTCCATAATGTTTACATGTTGTGAAGGCACTGCTAAAACCTTGGCAGAAATCGCTTTCATTGTAAATGTCTCATTATAACCTTTTTTTATTTAAACAATAGTGTGCATCTCATTTATCATCGCTAAATTGTGTTATTGAATGTGTATTGACATTATAAAGGCCATTGCCACCTTGCTCATCCCATAACGGTCATGCGCTTGAATGCTTGAATGCACTTGAATATTGAATGCTCTCTTCACAATAATGAAGCATCAGTGCGCTCAGAAACACTGTAATGTGACCTTGACCTGGATTTTTACTGTGCTACTGCACTCAATAAATCCAACATCCACTGCCTCATATAGATCAGTGACACTGAGTCATGGTAGTTTAAGATAATGTGAGCTTATTTATTTAGAACCTAAATAGTATATTTGTTTTACAGTAACAAGATTAATGATCTAGTATTTCGCGTTTCTTAAAGCAATGTTCTGTACTCAAAAGAAGGTAAGCTTTATCTATAGTAACTATCACAGAAACTCATTTTGACTCATGCTTCAGTTTGTAAAATCAAGAAAAAACTGCTTTTACAGTAATGCTCTAATAATGGAAGTCTATAAGGCAAGTGTATCAGATGCTTTAAACACAGAATTATGCAGCTTGTTTTTTTTTGGTTAAAGCACTTAAATGACTTCTTCTGTATGAAAATGTGTTAGCTTAGCTGTAAATTCATATTGTAGTGGTGTACATGCCAACACAATCTCATGGCAATTACTATTTTACATTTAAACAATTAGCATTTCATTTTTATGTTTTCATATAATCTACTCACACCCTAGTAACGGTTATGTTTTGTGGCAGACTTTCTAGTGGGAAAAGTTGGACTTGCTATTCTAGGTTACCAATAAAATTAATTCCGGCAACACTTCACGATAAAAAAACCATAAACCTTTCACATGTGGCTGGCTACATGTGAAAAACAGTGTGTTTTTAACTTTTTTCCGATGCAAAGCCTTGCCCTAAAGACTTCTATTATACAGTAAATACATTATTATAACATTATTACATATTATAACATGTTCTTGGTCAGTTAAAGTTGAGTTCAAAGTACTTTGAAGGAAGCGCCTGCAGGAACATTCCTATAAAAAGCTTCTCGTCTGACGGTGGAGAGAGGAGAATTGTGGAATAGTGATTGAGGTGCACCTTTAGTTTGTTAAGCAAAGTGCCACGAGTCCAGGACTGATGATACTTCTGACCTTGACAAGCTTTATTGATTTTTTTTTATTCGTCCAAACCAGAGAAAACTGATACCTGGCCTCTGAATCATTGATAAGCAGAAGGTTGCTGACTCTCTCTCTCTCTCTGCATCTTTGCAGACAGCCTCACTTCCTGAACCTGAGGGCTACAATTTCACCTCCTTCCATTCCCACTCCACTTCCTCTCATCTGTCTTTTCTATACACTACTGTGAGACACTGCATTTGTGTGTGCATCTACAGTGGAAACACACTGGAAATCTGGGATCAGAAATCTAGAACGTTTTCACTCAAAATGTGATTCTTATGATGTAATTTTAATGTAGAAAAATGCTAAATAGGAGCATTGAAAGCATGATTAGAACCAAAACAATATAGACATGTAGCACGAAACCTTCATATAGGTGAGTAATCATGTATTTCGTCCTTGTGGACAACCAAGGAGGCACTTTCACGCACTCAAGACCACAGTGTGCGAAAATAAGCCCCTCAGGATGTCTAACTCGACACTTCCTCTCAGAGAAACCACAAAAACAATCACACGCTCTCACTCAGACCAACTAACTATCAAGCTGTCAGGAGCCAAGACAAATGCAAACACTCGTTCAAGTGAAAAAAAAAGACCAGCCGGCTTAACGTTCAAGCGTCCAAACGAAAATCTGCTGCAGAGGTTAATTAGTAAATTACAGAGAATGTGCGGAGATTAATTGCTAACGCTTAATACTGCTCAGGGTTAGAGATTTGAACAAATCCCTAAAGATGTGCACACATTTAATGATGTTCGAGACTGCCCTCCTCCGAAAAACAACTTGTATGTGCAGACAGCTTATTATCAGCTATACTTACAGTACCCTGTTGTAAAAATAACGGCAGTGTCGTCATGAAACGACGTGTGACTGTCATTGCTGTCATCTGTCAACTGTGGATTCGTTTAAAGGGTTAGTTCACCCAAAAATGAAAATTAGCTTGTGTTTTACTCACCCCCGAAGCATCTTAGGTGTATATGACTTTCTTCTTTCAGACGAATCCAGTCGGAGTTATATTAAAAATTGTCCTGGCTATTCCAAGCTCTATCACTGCAGTCAGCGGGTGTTGCAGTTGAACAGTCCACAAGTCGTCAAATAAAGCGCGCGCATTCATAATAAAACGTGCCGCAGACGGCTCCGGGGGATGAATAAAGGCCCCCTGTAGCGAATCCATGTGTTTTTGTAAGAAAAATATCCATATTTCAAATATAATAAACACTTTTCTCTCACTTCATATGCAGAAGCCGTTCTGGCGGATGACGCAGCACGTATGTGCAGCACGCGCGCCTCTGAGATATGCTAGTCTCGCGAGTTTGTTTAATAGGAGCAAAGGAAGCAAAGTTTCCTTACTTTAGCAAAGGAAAACCAGTGTCTTCTTGGTCTATAGCAACGCTGACGTCTTATGTCATCCGCCGGAACGGCTTCAGTGTATGACAGTCAGCGGAAGTGAGAGAAAAGTGTTTATTACGTTTGAAATATGGATATTTTTCTCACAAAAACTCATGGATTCGCTACAGGAGGCCTTTATTCATCCCCCGGAGCCGTGTGAGACATGTTTTATTATGAATGTGTGAGCTTTATTTGATGACTTGTGGACTGTTCAACTGCAACACCGCTGACTGCAATGATAGAGCTTGGAATAGCCAGGACAATTTTTAATATAACTCCGACTGGATTCGTCTGAAAGAAGAAAGTCATATACACCTAAGATGCTTCGGGGGTGGGTAAAACACAGCCTAATTTAAATTTTTGGGTGAACTAACCCTTTAAATGCGATGTGTGGACTTTTTACACCGTCCCTTAACCACCATTATTCCTATTTCAAATTCACAAAATTTACTTTTAGCAATTGAACTTACAATTTCTGCCTGCTGGAGGATGAAATGGGCAAAAACTAATTCTTAGGTTTCTATTAAATTAGCGACCCAAGCCATATCTAGTGACCAGAAAATCCCAGAGACTCGTGATTGAGTTGTTTTGACTCAGGCTAGTAAGCAATCACCTAGCAACCACTCAAAACACCCTAGCAACCACAGAGATAGAACAGAAACTTCTCAGAGCACCTTAAGCACTGTACAGCAATGATTTGGCAACTAGCATTGCGACAGCAACAACTGCACTTTCATAATTTTCTCAAGAAAATGGATATATCTTCTAAACAAACACACTCAATGAAACATTCACCCCTCCAAAACACAATCCACATGTTTATTCCCTATGAGAAGTCATTTAGTCAAGACGCATGGCACAAACCATTGGCAGAGACAAATGAGAATGAACGAAAACACTTTAGTAGTCATCTATAGTTAATAAAGGTGATTCAATATTAGTGTGCACTTTAATATTCTTTATATGAGAAACACATGTTATAGTAGATTAGGTGTGCATTAGTAATTAGTAGAGCTCATTAGAGTAGAAGCACAGCCTTCCTTTAGCATTCCTCTTTATCACAAAAGAAAACCCACTTATTCTGCCCAGAACAATGCGTCTTTCCAGAGCTACAGTCCGTAATGAAGCTTTGGCAGAGTACGCGGGTAGAGCTGAGAGGTGCTTACCTTTGATTCCAAACTTTGAGTTCCGTCCAAACTTCAGAATGACGAGCATCAAGATGAAGCCTGTGAATGTGACCGCCGCAATTCCCACGACCACGTACACCTACAAGCAGAACGAAGAGTCTTCAACCAACATTCAAAGCTTCAAGCACATTTGGGAGAAAAACATGCACTCTGAGAATAAAAGACCTTTTCCTTAAGGCAATTTTCTCTTACACAAGTGATTTAGTTTATGGGTTTTCAGAGTTTACAGTGCTAAAAACTGATTGGGCATCTAGAGGTCACAAACATATGGCTTAACAAATACAATGTTTGTCATGAAAGTCTAGATGGCGCTGGCCAATAGGTTCTAACTCAATCTGATATAATCACATCTATTCACATGGAGCAGCTGATTGGTTTCTTTCGCATCAGCAGTCAATGAGCTGCTCAGCATTCAAATACTCGACTAATGCTTGCTGTAGCAGTTGCAGTGCGCTTCAGGACCCTCCGCCTCCCCAGCTCCACCTGTATAGATCTGCTACGGGGTGATTTAATGTATTTACTGTATATATGGGAGTTATTTCATGTGCAGCAGCAATATTTCTACATGCTCACAACAGCATGTCTGTGAATGTATAGGCAGTAGCAAGTCTCGAAGCAGATCTATTCCGCCAAGACCAAACACAATACAATAGGCATGTATATGCTACATGCTAAACTCAGAGAGTTGTCATGACAGAAATCTCTTTCTACGTTGTAAAAAAAAGCTACTTATTTTTCAGTTTACCAAATACAATAAGAAACTTAATTTTCTACATAAAAACCCATGTCAGACCAACAGAATTCCCCCAAATAGTCAAACACAGTTTCTGAATAAAGAATTTCATACTGCTGAAATGTTAAAGGTTTGTGAGTTCCCAGAATGCACTGCAGCATGAGTAAAGTAATATGAATAAATGCTGTTTGCTGACTTTATTTAAACATCTTGTTTTGTAATTATTGTTAGTTATTTGTTGTGTTGTAAAGAGCTCATCTTTCTACATTTGTTGATTGTCACCATTCTGGAGGTTTGTGCGACTATATATATATACAGTGGGTACGGAAAGTATTCAGACCCCCTTCAATTTTTCACTCTTTGTTATATTGCAGCCATTTGCTAAAATCATTTAAGTAATTTTTTTTTCCTCATTAATGTACACACAGCACCCCATATTGACAGAAAAACACAGAATTGTTGACATTTTTGCAGATTTATTAAAAAAGAAAAACTGAAATATCACATGGTCCTAAGTATTCAGACCCTTTGCTCAGTATTTAGTAGAAGCACCCTTTTGATCGAATACAGCCATGAGTCTTTTTGGGAAAGACCCAACAAGTTTTTCACACCTGGATTTAGGGATCCTCTGCCATTCCTCCTTGCAGAGCCTCTCCAGTTCTGTCAGGTTGGATAGTAAACGTTGGTGGACAGCCATTTTTAGGTCTCTCCAGAGATGCTCAATTGGGTTTAAGTCAGGGCTCTGGCTGGCCCATTCAAGAACAGTCACAGAGTTGTTGTGAAGCCACTCCTTCATTATTTTAGCTGTGTGCTTAGGGTCATTGTCTTGTTGGAAGATAAACCTTCGGCCCAGTCTGAGGTCCTGAGCACTCTGGAGAAAGTTTTCGTCCAGGATAACCCTGTACTTGGCCGCATTCATCTTTCCCTCGATTGCAACCAGTCGTCCTGTCCCTGCAGCTGAAAAACACCCCCACAGCATGATGCTGCCACCACCATGCTTCACTGTTGGGACTGTATTGGACAGGTGATGAGCAGTGCCTGGTTTTCTCCACACATACCGCTTAGAATTAAGGCCAAAAAGTTCTATCTGGGTCTCATCAGACCAGAGAATCTTATTCAGGTGTTTTTTAGCAAACTCCATGCAGGCTTTCATGTGTCTTGCACTGAGGAGAGGCTTCCGTCGGGCCACTCTGCCATAAAGCCCCGACTGGTGGAGGGCTGCAGTGATGGTTGTCCAATACAGTCTCAACAGTGAAGCATGGTGGTGGCAGCATCATGTTGTGGGGGTGTTTTTCAGCTGCAGGGACAGGACGACTGGTTGCAATCGAGGGAAAGATGAATGCGGCCAAGTACAGGGATATATTGGACGAAAACCTTCTCCAGAGTGCTCAGGACCTCAGACTGGGCCTAAGGTTTACCTTCCAACAAGACAATGACCTTAAGCACACAGCTAAAATAATGAAGGAGTGGCTTCACAACAACTCTGTGACTGTTCTTGAATGGCCCAGCCAGAGCCCTGACTTAAACCCAATTGAGCATCTCTGGAGAGACCTAAAAATGGCTGTCCACCAACGTTTACCATCTAACCTGACAGAACTGGAGAGGATCTGCAAGGAGGAATGGCAGAGGATCCCCAAATCCAGGTGTGAAAAACTTGTTGCATCTTTCCCAAAAAGACTCATGGCTGTATTCGATCAAAAGGGTGCTTCTACTAAATACTGAGCAAAGGGTCTGAATACTTAGAACCATGTGATATTTCAGTTTTTCTTTTTTAATAAATCTGCAAAAATGTCAACAATTCTGTGTTTTTCTGTCAATATGGGGTGCTGTGTGTACATTAATGAGGAAAAAAATGAACTTAAATGATTTTAGCAAATGGCTGCAATATAACAAAGAGTGAAAAATTTAAGGGGGTCTGAATACTTTCCGTACCCACTGTATATACACACACACACACACACACAGAAATTAAAACAATAAATCAACTTATTGTGTTACTAACTGAAAATTTGCTGAACAACTACTTAAATTAGGCATTTTTTTATTTTGTGAACGAAATAAATTCAAATTGACAAAACAATGTAGGGTCGCTTAGTATAATCATTAAGACAACATTGAGAAGACTGAAAAATCTGAATGCATCATGTTGCCTTGCCTTTTAATTTTATGATCCATTTTTATAAGTGTGATGTAATGAAATGTATTAAAAGCTCAGATTGTGAATTTTGATGAAATACATTTGAAGCTGTTGTAAAACGATGATTAAACGTACTCCACTGAACACACGTTTTATATCAATGTGGCTAGACGCTCCATTGTTTGCCAAACACAAACAGGACTTTAATCCAATTATTAATATTAATAAAAGAAACTATTTAAACGCATCAGTGTCATTTGTCATATTGCTGTCATTTTATAAGAGGAATGAGCTACTTGAGAGTGTGTGTAATAATGATTTTGCCCCGGTTTATGGGTTTTAGGCACTCCACTTTGTATTGTGTATAAAATCATACTACATACAAACGTAACAGACATGTTATATTATTATTTTGACGCAAGAAAAACTCAACAGAAACTACACAAATAACAGAATTTTACTCACAGCGACTTTGCCCTCAGGCGGTCCAAGAGGAGTGTCATCTGTTAGTACGAGAGGAAACACTAAGATACATGTGCTTTTAGACTACAGATCTATAATGTGCATGTTCATGTGTGTTTTGTTCATACCTGTAGTGGGATCTCACACACAAAAAGAGAAACAGAAGAAGAAGAAACATTTTAATGACTTATTCTTGTAATGAAGACTTAATAACATTATAATAATACATGTATTACTTAATAAATGACTAACTATGGAAGGCTAACGCAAAAATCTACATTTTGTTAACAACATCTAACTTGATTAAAACCCATATGCCTTTTTTTTTTTTTTTCGTGGAACACAAGAAATAAGTCTTATGGGTTTAAAATGGCAAATAAATGATATCAAAATCTAAATTTTTGGTCAACTATGACTATGATGATTACTGACATTATTCTATAATTTGATGATGAACTCTTAAAAGAGACTCACCATAATACAGTGGATCAGTAACTGATTCTAATGGATAAGCATGGAAAAGGAAACAAACAATGCAACTTTTCAGACACTGTAGTCACATTTACTGTAATTGTTTTGATTTGGTTGCATGCAAATTTCAGCTTACCGTTCCAAGGCTCGTGCATGAAATGCGCAAATACTGCCTTGCGGTCCTCTCCGTATGTATTACTGGCCACCAGTGAGTATTTTCCATTGTTGATGTGTGTGGGACTGTCCAGGTGTAAGCACCCGTGGTACCCGCCCTCTGAGTAATCGTGGACCATGGTGCGGATAAAGGGACCCTCCTCCACGGGTTTGCCGTTTAATAACCAGCTCAGTTTAGGCTCTGGGTTGCCCGACACGCTGAAGGGAATGCACCAGTGGTGGTCTGAGACTGCATCCATCAGCTTGCTGATTACAGGTGGAACTGGCATCCCAAATAAATGGCACAGATAAACACACAGAATAAATGGCATACAAGCATTAATAATAGTAAAGCAATAATGCATTTCAATAAGAAGTATTCAACTTGAATACGTGAAATGCATTATTTGAGGAACTTCTTGTTGCTAATGAATTGATTAAAATTAATATAACAGGATTTTTAGCTCTATTCAAGTAAAATAAATGAATAATAAAATAATAAATAAAATAAAAATACAGTCCGCTCAGAACATTTACTGAAAATAAGCTGCAAAAATGCCCCAAAAAGACTGCACAATTTTACATATCATCAACAACAGTCTTATAAAAGTACAAATTGTCCTGACAAAATTCTGAATTTTTGCTTAATGAAACTCGAAAAATGAAAGAATGTGGATTTACACAACTGTTCAAAGTCGTAAGATAGATTTCTTTATGTATTTATTAATTTAAAATAAATTAATACTAATCAAGGATGCATTAAATTGATCAAAAGTGACAGTAAAGATATTTATAATGTTGTAAAAAGTTTTAAATTTCAAATATATTTTGTTCTTTTTATCTATCTATTCATCAAAGAATCCTGGAAAAAAAACATATCATGGTTTCCACAAAAATATTAAACTGTTTTCACTTATAATAATCATGTTTCCTGAGCACCATCAGCATATTAGAATGATTTCTGAAGGATCAAGTGATACTGAAGACTGGAGTAATGCTGCTGAAAATTCAGCTTTGATCACAGAAATAAATTACATTTTATAATAATACTGTCAGGGTTATGGACCTGTCTGGTTGTGTTTTCCCTCCCCATGTGCTCTCCGTGACCTAGTTTTCCCGTGTGTTTGATTTAAAATAAATTAGTTTTATGCCCAGAGTTTAGCCCAGAGAGGGTTCCAGTCCCCGAGTTTAGCCCAGAGAGGGCTCAGCACTGCGCGACTGCCATCCTCCAGCGTCGCCGTGGCTGGAATATCCCTTGACTCTGCCTCCAGCCTCTAAACCCCAGACTCTGCCTTGGCCTGTTGACCCGTCGGCTCCACCATGTCTCCTAGCTCCCTCCTTTCCGCCGTGGCCCAGCAGTCCACTAGCTCAGCCGGGCTCCCTCGTCCCTCCAGCTCCGCCTTGGTCTGGCATCAACCATCCTGCGCCTCGGGACTCCACTCCTCCGGCTGCGCCTTCGTCCCTCCGGCTCCGTCAGGCTCCTTCATCCCTTCGGCTCCTCCTCCTCAGTCAGGATCCACGCTTACATGTCAGTCGCCGGCGCCATCTGCTTCGCCTTGGCCCTCCGGATCCTCTCCCGATCCTCCCTCCATCGTCACCTCCCTGGACTCTGTCTGCCGGCCCCCTCCCGGGTGCCCGTCCTCCTCCCAAGCCTCCTCCCAGGTTACCTCCCGTACCCGATATGTCAGGGTTATGGACCTGTCTTATTGTGTTTTCCCTCTCCATGTGCTCTCCGTGACCTAGTTTTCCGATGTGTTTGATTGCTCCCAGGTGTGTGTTGTCAATTACCCCATGTACTTAAGGTCCTGTCTGTGCTTTCTGAGTTTGTCCGGTATTGAATGTACGTCTTACCCCGCTACGTGTGTGTTCCCGGGACTCCACTCCTCCGGCTGCGCCTTCGTCCCTCCGGCTCCGTCAGGCTCCTTCATCCCTTCGGCTCCTCCTCCTCAGTCAGGATCCACGCTTACATGTCAGTCGCCGGCGCCATCTGCTTCGCCTTGGCCCTCCGGATCCTCTCCCGATCCTCCCTCCATCGTCACCTCCCTGGACTCTGTCTGCCGGCCCCCTCCCGGGTGCCCGTCCTCCTCCCAAGCCTCCTCCCAGGTTACCTCCCGTACCCGATATGTCAGGGTTATGGACCTGTCTTATTGTGTTTTCCCTCCCCATGTGCTCTCCGTGACCTAGTTTTCCGATGTGTTTGATTGCTCCCAGGTGTGTGTTGTCAATTACCCCATGTACTTAAGGTCCTGTCTGTGCTTTCTGAGTTTGTCCGGTTTGAATGTTCGTCTTACCCCGCTACGTGTGTGTTCCGGGTTTCATTGGATGTTAATTAAAGTCAGTTTGTTTGAAGTCTACTCCACGTCTCCTCGTTCCTCGCTCCGTGCTCCTCACAGTAGCGAATTGTGACAAATACTCGTATGGAAAACAATTATTTTAAATCGCAATATTTCATGATATTCCAGTTTTTACTGTATTTTTAATCAAACAAATGCAGCCTTGGTGAACATAAGAGACCTCTTTTAAAAACAATAAGTGTGTATAAAAAAAATTATCAAATGTATAAATGTGATTTCCCGTATAAATGAGTAGTTATGCCAGTCTTATGCAATAATTCTCTTGGTAACTTACACAATATGTCCAGATCCACAGAGGCCTCAGCCTCTCCCACCATGTTTTCAGACCTGCAGGTCATTTTGCATCCGTTGTCCAGGGAAGAGACATTCACGAGTCTAAACTCTGACATCTGACCTGAGCGCTCCTGCTGCGGGTGTGAGTTACAGCAATGTCAATCTCATTTCTATTTAAAGCCTACATGCAATTCAACTCCTCCCTATTTACAGAATTCTTATAGCCTTATTGTGCACAATTCATTTTTGCATGCTACTCCAAAGAAAAAAATACTTGTCTATAATCAAAATGCAATCATTTGCTACTCCTCTGAAATTACTTTCTTTTTCCGTTGGCGTCACTTAGGCGGACGACCATTTGGATGATGTTAACCAACAGCTATTCACGCATTGTTGTTTTTGTGAATATCCTGTTACGCCACATTAAGAGAATGGTTTGCAAATGACTGTTTACTGTATATTAACTTTAAGGTTTTTGTGCCCTGTTCCATAAATCAAAGCCTTAAAATCTGTTAAAATCAACAAAAATGCCATATTTCACTTATTATAAATGTGATAAAATAATTACAAGCTATCTTCTCAGTTAAACTCTAAAGCAAATGTCACATAATAAGAAAGGCATTAACAATGCATAACTTTCACAATGAATCATCAAAATGTTTAAAGGCTGAAAAAAGCTAGTTCCCTAATGATACACTCAGAAACCTTGTCAAAATGTCATTGCAAGTATGCTGACTACCTCTTGCAGCAAATCTGGCAAGACATCGCAAACTTATTTCTGCTATATTCATTTGTTGTAGAGAAAATAAATTGTGTGGCTATCCACGGTCTGTATGGAAGCTTGTTTCTGCCATTTTATCCCACAGTTCAGACTTTTTCAGAAGTTTATGTCTCACAATCTTTTATTTTCATTTTGTTTTTGCTTCTGACATGGAATAAAACATGTAAAAAGATAGTTGCAACATTTACATCTCACAGTTCTGCCTTTATTCCTCAGAATTGTGAGAAATTCTAAAGAAAAAAGTTGGAACTACGAGAAAATAAGTCAGAATTTTGAGATATAAATTCAGAACCGCAAGAAAAAATTCTGAATTGTGCGATATAAACTCCCAGTTTGGATTTAAAAAAAATGATACTAGATATAAGGTAAGTGGTTGCAATCAATTTATTTTAGCTACATTTAAATAAACAAATTTAGTTGACTACTTTCAGCTAAATGTGTTTATTTAAATGTAGCTAAAATAAATTGATTGCAACCACTTACCGTAAAAAAATTAGTAAATTCAATGAATCGTATTTTCAGTGTGATAGATATAAACTCAGAACCTCTTTTTTTTTTTTTTTTCGCAATTCTGACTTTTCTTCTCTGAATTCTGAATTGACATCTCGCAATTATGTTTTTTTTTTGTTTGTTTTTTTGCGATGGAATAAAAAAATGACAGAAGTAACTGCAACTTTTTCTCTCACAATTTATTATATTTATAATATTTATTAGCTTATATCTCCCAATTAAGATTTTTTTTTCTCAGAATTGAAATCAGGAGAATCAGAATGGGAAAAAAAATGCAAGAGCCACTTAAAATGACAACTTAATTGTCAATTTGAAACTTTGTAGATCTGAGATGAGGGTTAGATTTACCTCGTACGCTGAATTTAATTTGCAGGTGGTCCAGTTCAGAGTCGGTGTGGGCGTTCCTGAGGTGTTGCACACCAGCGTCACGTTTAACCCGTTCCGCATGGTCACTTTAGTGGGTTTCAGAGTCACAGTGGGGAGAACTAGAAAGAAAACACACCACAAACCAGTTCATACACTAACTAACAATCAAGAAGAAAAAATCTCGTTCTTAATAACTACCATTGTCTCATTGGTTTTATTTAAAAATATCTAAAGGTCCTCAATACATATGTGGTTTGAAATCAATTAAAATCAGATTTTTCGGAAGTAGTTTTTGTTTGCCATTCAGGACATAATGTGCATGGAATGACATAAATGGCACATTATTATGCATATCTGCATATGTGTCTGATGGGTTGTTGTATTTCTTGGCCTCACGCTGTTGATTACATCCTTACTACAGCAAACATGCAAATATACACCATAAATATACATATACCGGATATTGACCGGACTGCCTGAACAAACAGATCTGATCTATCTGTACATAACAGTATATTATATTGTTTTGAATGACTATATTTAAAGTGACACTGAGATATGTATTTGATATTTTAGCTCAGAAACGGAATCGCTTGAATTTTTTAAACATCTTACATCATTTTTGTGATCTATGCATATTCAGAATCTGTCTGTATTATATTTCATTATATTATATTGTTTTGAAAGAATTACAGAAATCTCTGATTTTATTTCTTATTTTCAGGGTATATTTAAAGTGACACTGACATTTGGTCTTTTAGTTCAGAAATGTAATCCCTTTTAAAGAAATCTAATGAAAGCAAATTAATTTCGACATAAATACATTTGACATTTTCTTTGCAAATCATTTGACAAACTGTTAAAAAAAATCCTTTTTGTGATTTATATTCAGAATCAAGCTGTATTATATTATATTAATGATATTATGTTATATTATTATATTAGTAAAAGACTTTTAAATTGTGTTCTAATTTTATTTCTTATTTAGACTGACACTGAAGTGTACAAAATTCATATTTTTTCATAATTCATATTTTAGCTCAGAAGTCAGATCTCTTGTGCTTCTCCGCCTGCATCACAGGAATGCCGTTCTCGCGGGAGCTCCCGCTAAATTCAAGGCCAAAGAGTGCAGACAGCTCTGACCGGCTCTGTCATGAACAGACAGCCAAATCAGATCTCTATCTCTAGCTGCTCCTAGGCTGCGACAACTGACACCCTTATCACCGCGTCCCACGGCATCGCTTGCTTCTGCAGGAAACTGCAGGTCACGCAGCTTTGATCATTTCATAAGAATCATGTATGGTTTCTTATTATCTTAATCTTGGAGTGATTCTGTAACATCCATCACACACAGCACAGACCTTCAGCCTGTTCAGACCAGACAAACCGTTTTCACTCAGCAACTCTTTATCCTATAGGAATAGTTCACCCAAAAATTAAAATCTGATGAAAATATACCCTAAAAAAGTTTTATTTGTAAAACAATTTTCACTCGGAAATAAGAAAATGTTTTTGCTAGTAAATTTCACAAAGAAACTGCAAGTAATTGAATTAAATGTGAAATTCTAAAGTACTTTGTATAAAGACTGGAATATTTTTTTGTAAAATATATTCCAATAATCCTTGTTTTATTTACAACTTCGAACCTTTACCTCCAGGCCATCCAAGATGTAGATGAGTTTGTGTCTTTATTGGAACAGATTTGGAGAAATGTAGCATTACATCACTTGCTCACCAATGAATGGGATGGGTACCGTCAGAACAAGAGTCCAAACAGCTGATAAAAACATCACCAATGGATGCTCTGCAGTGAATGGGTGCCATCAGAACGAGTGTCCAAACAGCTAATAAAAATATCACCAATGGATCCTCTGCAGTGAATGGGTGCCGTCAGAACGAGAGTCCAAACAGCTGATAAAAACATCACCAATGGATGCTCTGCAGTGAATGGGTGCCATCAGAACGAGAGTCCAAACAGCTGATAAAAACATCACCAATGGATGCTCTGCAGTGAATGGGTGCCGTCAGAATGAGAGTCCAAACAGCTGATAAAAACATCCATTTCTACAGCTGTTTGGACTCTTATTCTGACGGCACCCATTCACTGCAGAGCATCTATTGGTGAGCAAGTAATGGAATGCTACATTTCTCCAAATCTGTTCCTTTAAAGGGATAGTTCACCAAAAAAAATAAAATTCTGTCATCTTTTTTCTAGTTTAAACCACACTGGCAAAAAATATCTCATCTAGTCCCTCTAGATGGTAAATTGAAACGATTCACTGCAGCAGCTCATTTTCTTTCATGGCACAAAAAACAAAACAAAAAAGCAAAAGAAAGACAGCGATTGGCCACAGGCCAGCAGACGCTCAGTGCTAAATGTCTCAGTGTTTTTGCATTCTGGGGATCCCCCCGTCTGTCTCTATTTTTCCCTTTTCCTCCCTCGCTCTCTTGTCCTCTCTTCCTCCCTCGAGGGCCTTCTGCTGTGGTATTGCTTAAAATAGGCCTGGCTGGAGGCTGATCTTTGGATCAATAATTATCCGCGTCTCAAGCCGCAGTCATAAAACTACAGCCTGGACAAATCACATCTTACCAAACAAACTAAACTTCAGTCTTAAATATTAGATGTGTAAAATCATAACAAGCTTCCTTTAAAATATGCTGATTCTTAGTTCTCCCGGCCATAGTACATTGTTCTGTTAAGTCTTTCTAGTCAGTTGCTTCATCACTGAAATGCATCTAGTTGACAACTAGTTTTGACAGATTCAATTCATGGTATAGCTTGAACAGTGTTGGTATTATTAAAAAGGTAAATTATCTAAAAAGAATTAGAAATGTTGCCTTGGCATCTAACTGAAATAAAATAAGTTTAAATAAAAATAAACTTAAAATAAATAAAACCTAATATAAAATAAATAAATATTTTTAAATAACACAACTGACAAAGCACATACAAAAACGAAATAAAAACTAAATATCTACAAATAAATAATAAAAATAAAATGGTAACACTAGGGACCAATTCTCACTATTAACTAGTTGCTTATTAGCATGCCTATTATTAACATATTGGCTGTTTAGTAGTGCTTATAAAGCACATATTCTGCATGAGAATATTCTACATCCCTAACCCTACCCAATACTGAAACTTAACAACTACCTTACTAACTATTAATAAGCAGCAAATTAGGAGTTTATTGAATCAAAAGTTGTAGTTATTGGTTTGTTATTCGTGAGAATTGGCCCTTAAAATAAAATAAATATTAAAATAACACCGATAAACACACATGAAACCCTCATATATATGTAAAAGATACATAAATATGTTTATTATTATTATTTAACTCTTTCCCTCAGGTCTATTTCAAGTGTGATTGTTTGTTTGTTTTTCACCAAAACGGACACAATTGAATTTTTCCTGACTATTTTTGACCCTCTCTCACCTTTTCAAATTAAACACAGCATTTGCTGCGGTCATTTAAAAGTGTGAATGTAATGCACGTCACTGTGAAATAGGATACAACACTGCGCTGCACTTGTTTACAAGCTATGGGTTAATGCTGGTTCCAGTAATGTTGGTTACAATATCTATAGAGCTTTGTAACAGGCTCACAAAACAATCTGTGGTGCAATTTGCTGTAAACACTGTTAAATGATCTGAAATGATCAGGGGTCTTGTTAAAACTAAACTTCAGGATCCTTCAGAACTATATACAGAGCAACAGCACTAGAAATTACAAGGTTTGACACAACATTTGCTCATGTTACTCATTTATCTTTAGTTAAGGGGCCTCTATCTTTATCTTTTCTTTCTCATACCACAGTTCGGCAGTGTGAGTGTAGACAGCGCTGTCCTCTTTCCTCCCTCCTCCACACACAGCAGGTCCTCGGCCTCCTCTCCTCTCCACTGCTTCAGCCACACGTTTTCACATATGCACTGCAAAGGATTGCCTGCCAGCAACCTGCAACACACAAAGACACGCGTTTAGCATGACAGTGAAGCATGCAGTACAAAAACACTCACCAAGAGCACAAATAACTCTACATGTAACCTGATAGCACTACATTATCATCAGCATATATCATTACAGTGTACATGAATACATTCCGATTTCTCGGGCGATATTTTTGAGAATGTCAGTAGTACTATTGATTGCAAAAATTCCCAAATTGATCAACAACCTTGCAAATGCAATCAAATATTTTTGAATTTTTATGTAAAATAAATGTTTAATAGTATATTGTGTGCAAGCATTATTTGCTGCATTCATTGTTTTTCTATTAGCAAAAACAAAGCCAACCAAAAATAACCACATTCTGTAATATATCTTCAATAAAAGAGACTCACAGGTATGAAATGTTTAAATGGCGAAACGTCCTCCAGGATAGATTAGACAGAATATTCTCTTTGAGATTCCTGTAAAAGAACACAACGATCAGCACTGACAAAAGCATGTAACAAAACATATTCAATTTGATTCAACTTTTTTTTATCCAGCTTCGCCACAACCAAAACACTCACATATATTGTAGTTTGGGGTTGCTCTGAAAGGCCTGCCTGGAAATATATGCCAGCCTGGTGTTTGTTACAGTTCTGCAGGACAACACAAGCACGGATGTCAGAAATGTCCATCTCACGACGTAAAGAACGTAAAAGCTGTTCCACGTTTTATACTCACAAGTTTCTGAGGTTGCGATACGAGTCGAGATCTTTTTCATTAATGGATTTGAAGCCGCTTTGATTTGCAATGTATCTGTAAGCAGCAACAAGAACAATCTCGCTAAAAGAGTCTCCGAGGGTAAATTCCAACACACAAAAAATACTTCATCTTTTAATTGAATTAATTCATTATTTGATCCATGGTGTGTAGTAAACAATCTAAATCATTTTGGTAACACTTTACAGTAAGGTTCCACAAGTTAATGTTAGGTCATGCATTAACTAACATGAATGAACAATACATTTATTACAGTATCTTTGTTAATGTTACAGTCATTGTTAGTTCATGCTAATCCACAGTGCATTAACTAATGTTAACAAGCACAACTATTGATTTTAACAACGTAGTAAATGCTGAAACTAACATTAACTTAGATTAATAAATTATGTAGTAAGTATTGTTCATTCTTACTTCATGGTAACTAAAGCAGTTAACTAATGAACATTATGTATAATACATTAAGTCATGTTTTTAAAGATAGAAGTGTAACAATGTTCCTGTTCTGCTGGCCAAAATTTAAACAAATGCACTTAAGCTCTAGTGTGATTTAAACAGCAACTGATTTCAAAATACCTAATTAAAGTCAATCAAAATGACAGACTGATTCATAGCTTTTGTGTAAAACAGTCAACATAAGAGAAGCAGCACTGCAGCAGTTATAATTGAGTAATAATTAAGTGCACTTATAAATGTGACCCTGGACAACACAACTAGTCATAATGGTCAGGTTTTTTAATTTATTTATGCATTATCTGAAAGCTGAATAAATAAGCTTTCCATTTATGTATTTGTTTGGATAGGACAGGGGTGTCCAAACTGGGTCCTGGAGGGCCGGTGTCCTGAAGAGTTTAGCTCCAACCCCAATTAAACACACCTGAACCAGCTAATCAAGCTCTTACTAGGCATACTAGAAACTTAAAGGAAAGTGTGTTGAGGCAAGTTGGAGCTAACTTGGAGTTGCAGGACACCGGCCCTCCAAGACCGAGTTTGCGCACCCCTGGGATAGGATAATATTTGGCCGAGGTACAACTATTTGAAAATTTGGAATCTGAGGGTGCAAAAAAATCTAAATATTGAGAAAATCGCCTTTAAAGTTGTCCAAATGAAGTTCTCAGCAATGCATATTACTAATCAGAAATTAAGTTTTGATATATTTACGGTAGGACATTTACTAAATATCTTCATGGAACATGATCTTTACTTAATATCCTAATGATTTTGGTATAAAACAGAAAAATCGATCATTTTGACCCATACAATGTATTGTTGGCTATTGCTACAAATATACCCGTGCTACTTATGACTGCTTTTGTGCTCCAGGGTCACATACTTTGGCACAATAGCCTAATTCAAGTCCGATAACCGGATACATCATAGAAATCAAGCAATTGCGCACAAAGCAGTTAATTGAATGACACAACATGCATCATCTTCTGTGACCTCTTCTTCACAGCTTACATGTCTGTGATGTTCTCCATCTCTGCCTCGGACTGTAGCATGGGAAAAGCCATAATGCTGCGCTCCGCATCCACGCACGAGATCCGCGCGCCGGTGCATGTGCACAGCTCCGGACAAGCGGCACCGGGCCTCCAGAGCGCGAGCAGCATCAGAACCCAACAGGACCCCCAGCCCGCCATGCCGAAGCCCCCCGACAGCAGGCTCATCCCTGGGTCCTCGCCTCCAGATTTAAGACCCCTGCAATCCAACGCGCGGAGAGAGCGCAAAACACACGCGCCCGCGTCGACCTTGTCTCGCGTTTCTGTCTACGTGAAGTGTCTGTATTCCTCTCCTCCTCTCGTCTGCGTTTACCTCGCTCTGCCTAGGATGAATGACCGAGATGCTGGCGTTAAATGACGCGTCCGTTGAGCTCACATAAGACGCGCTCTTGGGAAGCGCGAGTGCTGGAGTGAGGGAGCGCGATCGCTGGATGATGCGCAGCGCGTCTGCGGGGAGGAGACGAGGAGAGGAGATCATTCAAACGCTTTATTGATTATTGACAACGTGTAGCAGCATCCTTACACCCATCGAGACTTAAGACCTTAAGGCGCATGAATTATGGATAATTCGCATGCTGTGGTTTCGTTATCAGCGTAAATCGGGGTTGTCGTTTCATCTTCTTACAAGCGTGTTTCTCAGATTATGGTAATGCCAGTCACTAACGAGCGAAGCGCTAGCCGGGTGTAGTTTACGCACAGCACTAGTCGTGTTTCGTTCGTGGATGAATCGTTTTTAATGAATGTTTAAATGAACGAATTGTTCTCGTGTCTTCTGTGCACTGACTCATAGTTCTCTTTCTCTTCGCAGCGCGTCTTCTGAAGCACGAGCAAATTCGAGTGCGAGTCTATGGCGTTCAGTCTGGTTCACAACAAGGGAAAAACATAATGGGGTGGAAGAATTATGTGCAAAAACGACTGTAAATTAAAATGGCGCAAGAGCGTTACTGGAATTCATAATGGATTTTAGTTAGGCTACTAACTGTTTTATTAGGCCTATTACTACTACTACTACTAGGCTAATAATAATAACATTATTATTTTATTTAGGCCTATATCTTTTTTATTATTTTATATATAGCTTGATAAAAGTCATTTAGGCCTACAAAAATGATATATGACAGCAGGTCTAGATACGCTATCTCAAGACCAATTTGCACTATTTTACGACTCATTCAGTTTAGTACGATTTGTCTAGACCCCAGTGACAGGTTTAGGGACGGTGTTAGGCGTTGGTCATTCGTACGAATTCATACGAATTGGGGAACTCGTCAAATCTACATAAAATTTGGCAAAAATCGTACCAGATCGTACGAGTGACTATTTAGGCACCTCGTAAATAATTTATGTATGAATTGTCGTGAGATCGGGCAGATATCGGGCATCAGCGGAGGCATCGGCGCTTCAAACCGGGGTAGACTATTTATTTATTTATTTATTTTAAAGGGGATAGTTAAAGTTCACCCAAAAGATGAAAATGTTATCATCAATTACTCATCCTCATGTTGTTCCAAATAGTTGCTGGTAGACAGTGACTTCCATAATATGATATATATATATATGTGTGTATA